ACTGTATCTTATCACCTAGTCTACAGAGTTGTGTTTCATCTCCACGTTGTATCTTATCACGTAGTCTACAGTGCTGTGTTTCATCTCCACACTGTATCTTATCACGTAGTCTACAGTGCTGTGTTTCATCTCCACACTGTATATTATCACGTAGTCTACAGTGCTGTGTTTCATCTCCACACTGTATCTTATACCTAGTCTACAGAGTTGTGTTTCATCTCCACGTTGTATCTTATACCTAGTCTACAGTACTGTGTTTCATCTCCACACTGTATCTTATACCTAGTCTACAGAGTTGTGTTTCATCTCAACGTTGTATCTTATACCTAGTCTACAGTACTGTGTTTCATCTCCACACTGTATCTTATTGCCTTGTCTACAGTGTTGTGTTTCATCTCCACACTGTATCTTATCACCTAGTCTACAGTGTTGTGTTTCATCTCCACACTGTATCTTATCACCTAGTCTACAGTGTTGTGTTTCATCTCCACACTGTATCTTATTGCCTTGTCTACAGTGCTGTGTTTCATCTCCACACTGTATCTTATCACGTAGTCTACAGTGTTGTGTTTCATCTCCACACTGTATCTTATTGCCTTGTCTACAGTACTGTGTTTCATCTCCACACTGTATCTTATCATCTAGTCTACAGTACTGTGTTTCATCTCCACACTGTATCTTATTGCCTTGTCTACAGTGCTGTGTTTCATCTCCATACTGTATCTTATCACCTAGTCTACAGTGCTGTGTTTCATCTCCACACTACTCACCTCCAACTCTTGGGCTATTCTTGTCAGACAGAATAGTGGGAATTGACCCTCACCCTTTTAACACACCCTAGGTCCCAACTTATAGAGAGTTTTATTTTGGGAGAGATCCACAGTTCGGCCCATGTAGTATGAGAACCATGGAATGTGTTGAGTTAGTGTGGAGTGACAAAAGTACGGAACTTAATGAAGTAGCTGTGGAGTATTAGAACAGTGGAGAGATAGCGTATGTATAAAGTAACAGACTTGCCAATGTAATGAGGAGTACGTGATCATTTTGTACGGGCAGTGGATTTGTAGAATAAAACTTAATTAATTACATTCCTCTTGGGGGGGGGGGGAGAAGGTCCATAATTAACAACGTTTCCGTGAGTTAAAAACTTAATGTAAATTGTAAGACATCCCCTACAGAAGCTAGTCTGACAAAAATGGAATTCCACTGGTATTCATCATACTAAATAATAATAGTTGCAGGAATAGGAATGCTAGCAGCTAGTCAACTCTCACTTTACCCTATTTTTTTTTTTACTGACATATTTAACGTAATAATCCACGTGC